CCATCAAAGGGGTAGCATTTGAAGGGTTCCACAAGTTAGAACCCGGCTCTATCAAGTCATGGGCCAACGCGGAAAGACTCTTCTTAGCCCGCTTCTTCGACGACGACACGGAGGTGTCAATGGCCATCGCCGAAAAGCAGCGGAAGTCAGAATCAGTCAATGACTTCGTAAAATGATTCAGGAACCGATTGGTCCACTGTCGGGACCATGTTTTTGAATCCACACTGATTGAGATGTGCCATAATAATCTCTTAATCCACATTCTGTCTAAGGTCGGTGCGGAGGAAACCCGGACCTGGAAAGAACTTGTTCGTCAGGGCGAGCAAGTGGAAAACATGATCAAAAGGTTAGAAGCCGAAGAGCCACAACCCAAGAAGGGAGCCGTGGAGCCGACCGCGCCAAAGAATCCCCCTCGAACAAGAGGAAAAGAGATCATGGCCATCGATTCTGCCCCGGCATCCAAAACGGCTCAAAGGCCGAAGCCCAGGCAATTCGAACAACGCCCCCCACGACAATATGACTTCAAGGAAGACCAAGTGGTGGCGACATTCGATACTCTACTCAAGAGCAATCGAATTAAATTACTGGAGGTCACAAAGCCTGAGGAGGCAAACAAAACCAATGACCCGAGTTACTGTGTGTATCACAGATTCCTCAGTCACCACACCTCCAAGTGTTACATCCTCAAAGATAAGCTCCAGGCCCTCTATGATGCAGGAGTCCTAAAGTCACCACACCTCCAAGTGTTACATCCTCAAAGATAAGCTCCAGGCCCTCTATGATGCAGGAGTCCTAAAGAAGGAGAAGATACAAAAGCAGGTGACCACAGGAGTCCTAAAGAAGGAGAAGATACAAAAGCAGGTGACCATGAATATGATCACCTTGAGTTTTGGGACGGATCTTCTGAAGGTTCAGGCTCTGACAGGGGTAATCCCCATCCCCAAGGCAGTTCTAAAAATCACTAACGACGACCCTCACAACCAACGGGGGAAAGGTTTAGTACCCCAGACCTTGCCGTCCGACCAGGTGATGTGGGTCCATCCGGACCTCCTCAGCGACGAACAGTGGACTGCAAAGCCCTCAAGGAAGACCAAGGGTAAGCCTTACAATGTCATCTATGCCATTCCCGGTGGGGACCAGACGACGACGTCTTCCCTCACCGACTCCGATGAGGAAACTATCACCCTTGCTACTCGAGCAGGAAAAGAATTCGCCAAAGAATACCCTCGGCCGAAACCGAGCCACCTCAAGGTGGCTCGGTGTGTCGGCCACTTGTGCGCGGGCACAGTGAGGGTGGCCTATAAATAGGAGAGGTGGTTCATTTGTTCAAAGGTTGGATTTTTTGGAGGCGAAGCCCTACTGGATTGAAGACTCAGATCTAAAAAAGATTCAAGCTTTAGGACTTCGAGGACTTGCTCATCCAGATCTGGTGCTCGGCGATCGTCAACGCCAAATAAGGCAAGAGTTCGAGATGACCGGATCTCAGATCTACGCAGGCATTCTACGCAGGCATACTCCGGATCAAAGCTTGGTCTTTGATCCCGAGATTTGGGCGATTGTTTCCTTGGTGAACCAATCCCCCCGGCTATTATTTCCTTCGTGAAATAATACCCGTCGTACTGCGTAGATCCAACCGGATCTAGATCGCGCGGTGGTCCACGGATAAAACCCCGGCGCAGTAGAGGCCCCGCGGAAGACGACCGCAAAACAGGAGCTCGCTCATATTGTTCGACAAAAAGGAGAAAGTGTAATCTTTGTTTATTTTTCTATTGATTTTCATTTGTAATCGCGAATTTATAAAAAGACCGATCTGTTTGTAACTCAAAAAGCTGTTATTTAAGATGACAATGGATCAATTACAAAGAAGACACGTTTTTTCCAGCGAACAATCTGGCGACCACAGTGGGAGCCGCCGATCTCGCGGCCGAGATCGGAGCGTCGTAGCCGCGGATCTCAATCCCGGTCGTGGAGGAGGTCGAATACGAGTTCGATCAACAGAAGTTCGAGGAATACTTGTCGTCCTCGTCCGGATCAACCTCCCCCCGCAAGTCCAAGAAGTATCCCCTCTCGATTCGTTCCATGAACGAGAGGTCCACAAATTGAACGATCAAACCTTTAAACAGTTAGGATCGTCTCAAATTCCCATCTTGGTCAAACCTTTAAACAGTTAGGACCAAAGCCAAAATCCCCTCTCGATTCGTTCCATGAACGAGAGGTCCACAAATTGAACGATCAAACCTTTAAACAGTTAGGATCGTCTCAAATTCCCATCTTGGTCAAACCTTTAAACAGTTAGGACCAAAGCCAAAATCCCCTCTCGATTCGTTCCATGAACGAGAGGTCCACAAATTGAACGATCAAACCTTTAAACAGTTAGGATCGTCTCAAATTCCCATCTTGGTCAAACCTTTAAACAGTTAGGACCAAAGCCAAAATCCCCTCTCGATTCGTTCCATGAACGAGAGGTCCACAAATTGAACGATCAAACCTTTAAACAGTTAGGATCGTCTCAAATTCCCATCTTGGTCAAACCTTTAAACAGTTAGGACCAAAGCCAAAATCCCCTCTCGATTCGTTCCATGAACGAGAGGTCCACAAATTGAACGATCAAACCTTTAAACAGTTAGGATCGTCTCAAATTCCCATCTTGGTCAAACCTTTAAACAGTTAGGACCAAAGCCAAAATCCCCTCTCGATTCGTTCCATGAACGAGAGGTCCACAAATTGAACGATCAAACCTTTAAACAGTTAGGATCGTCTCAAATTCCCATCTTGGTCAAACCTTTAAACAGTTAGGACCAAAGCCAAAATCCCCTCTCGATTCGTTCCATGAACGAGAGGTCCACAAATTGAACGATCAAACCTTTAAACAGTTAGGATCGTCTCAAATTCCCATCTTGGTCAAACCTTTAAACAGTTAGGACCAAAGCCAAAATCCCCTCTCGATTCGTTCCATGAACGAGAGGTCCACAAATTGAACGATCAAACCTTTAAACAGTTAGGATCGTCTCAAATTCCCATCTTGGTCAAACCTTTAAACAGTTAGGACCAAAGCCAAAATCCCCTCTCGATTCGTTCCATGAACGAGAGGTCCACAAATTGAACGATCAAACCTTTAAACAGTTAGGATCGTCTCAAATTCCCATCTTGGTCAAACCTTTAAACAGTTAGGACCAAAGCCAAAATCCCCTCTCGATTCGTTCCATGAACGAGAGGTCCACAAATTGAACGATCAAACCTTTAAACAGTTAGGATCGTCTCAAATTCCCATCTTGGTCAAACCTTTAAACAGTTAGGACCAAAGCCAAAATCCCCTCTCGATTCGTTCCATGAACGAGAGGTCCACAAATTGAACGATCAAACCTTTAAACAGTTAGGATCGTCTCAAATTCCCATCTTGGTCAAACCTTTAAACAGTTAGGACCAAAGCCAAAATCCCCTCTCGATTCGTTCCATGAACGAGAGGTCCACAAATTGAACGATCAAACCTTTAAACAGTTAGGATCGTCTCAAATTCCCATCTTGGTCAAACCTTTAAACAGTTAGGACCAAAGCCAAAATCCCCTCTCGATTCGTTCCATGAACGAGAGGTCCACAAATTGAACGATCAAACCTTTAAACAGTTAGGATCGTCTCAAATTCCCATCTTGGTCAAACCTTTAAACAGTTATGACCAAAGCCAAAATCCCCTCTTGATTCCTTCCATGAACAAGAGGTCCACCTTCGATTTGCGCAATCAAACCTATAAAAGTTAGGATTGCTTCAAATTTCAATTGATCAAACCTTATTCAGATTCTCTGAATAGAAATCCCACTTCAAATTTCCTTTGTACCAGGAGATAGAATATAAAATTCTTCCTCTCCGATTCTGGGTTTATCTCTACCAACAAACAAGAGACCAGGAGATAGAATTCTTTTTCTCCGATTTTGGGTTTATCTCTACCAACAAACAAGAGACCAGGAGATAGAATATAAAATTCTTCCTCTCCGATTCTGGGTTTATCTCTACCAACAAACAAGAGACCAGGAGATAGAATATAAAATTCTTCCTCTCCGATTCTGGGTTTATCTCTACAAATTTCCTTTGTACCAGGAGATAGAATATAAAATTCTTCCTCTCCGATTCTGGGTTTATCTCTACCAACAAACAAGAGACCAGGAGATAGAATATAAAATTCTTCCTCTCCGATTCTGGGTTTATCTCTACCAACAAACAAGAGACCAGGAGATAGAATATAAAATTCTTCCTCTCCGATTCTGGGTTTATCTCTACCAACAAACAAGAGACCAGGAGATAGAATATAAAATTCTTCCTCTCCGATTCTGGGTTTATCTCTACCAACAAACAAGAGACCAGGAGATAGAATATAAAATTCTTCCTCTCCGATTCTGGGTTTATCTCTACCAACAAACAAGAGACCAGGAGATAGAATATAAAATTCTTCCTCTCCGAGTATGGGTTTATCTCTACCAACAAACAAGAGATTGAGAAATGGAATATACAATTCTTTTTCTCTCCGATTTTGGGTTCGTTGTCCTATATAGGAAATGCAACCTATTCACACTTTGAAATCCATGTTGTTCACACATGGGGGATGTTATCTCTATCCCTTATTAGAGATAAGCCTACATCTAACACATGTAGCCTACATATTCAATATGATAGTTCAAAGTCTAAAAGAGTTTAATTCTTTTAGCGCAACGTTATATGTGAAACGGACTTAGATAATTCACATACTAGCCCGATTCAAACGGTAATCGGTAAAGGTATATCAAATCCGTTGATGGCTGAGGATTTGCCAAAAATCCTATAAATATTATGATTATTTACTCTAAACAAGAATGAGTAGTCATAATAAAATCTCAATAAACAAGAAAGTTCACTGTATTAACCAAAAGAGTTCAATTGACTAATTTGATTTTCAAGTTTTGACAGCTCTAACGCGTAAGTCTGTTCAAGCTCAGCCGTCAATTTAATCTTGAAAGCTTCTTCATCAACACTTTGAAGCGCGGCGACCTCTTGTTCCTTTTCAGCAATTATTTTATCTTGAAGGTTCAGTTGCTGTAACAGGTCTTCCTCAATATGAATTTCCTGCGTCAACTCAGACTCCAAGACATCAAGAGCATCCTTGGCCATTGCAAGTTCCTCCTCTAAGCGAGCTATTTCCGCTCGACTCGATTTTATATCTCGGCGTAGGTTGACCTTGGCTTGTGTTCTTTTGCCAATATTCACCCTAAGCTGATGACTGTGGGCTCTTAATTGTTGGAGTTCAGAGTTGGCAGATTCTTGAGAATCACGCCACGCTTGCAGCCTAGATTCCATATGAGAAGCGATGTAAAAGGGTATGCCTTTGGTGCGAAGAGTTTACAGAAGTTCAATATATTGTCTCAACTCAATCAAATAAGCGGTGACTGAATCAGCTAAGTCGTTATACCCTTCCTCTCTGAACCCTGATATAAAACGCTCAAAAGATTTTTTATAATTCTCAAAATACGATCTTTTGAAGAGAATGCGATCGACCATAGAGTTCAAAAAAGAGATGAAGCCTTGGAGATTAGAGCAGATAACAGACTTGTCCGGATCGTCATCAACCAATAACGCTTGGATTTGAGTTGATAATGATGAAGGAACTGCGAGAAAGTCAAATAAGTCAGTACAGTATATATATATGCATACAAGACAACAAACTAAAGCATACCAAATTCGACGGAAGAACCTTCAGCATGACTTGGTTCGCTCAAGGATGGTAATCTGGATTCCTGAACAGTCAAGATTGGTTCAGGAATGGTAGCTGTTGATGCACCCGCTACATCAGGGACTTTTTCAACTAAAGTCTCAGAGGACGGCGGGTCCAAACTAAGAGACTCTTTAAGAGGAGATTCTACAAACAGGAGGATTACAATGAGCATAATGATAATCCGAGCTTGAAACAAACGATAAATGAAACTCACCAATTCTAGTCACAACATCGGCCGATGTACCAACTTCTTCAGTTGGTCTCGCTTTTGTTGCAACTGGACTAATCTGGGGAGTGACAGTGACTTCTATCATCATGGGGTCCATAGGAGTAGAAGGTTGAGGTTCAAGAACTGATGATTGTAAATCAACTTCGGTTCCTGCCCATGGCACGAGTTCACGACCCTCCGGGTGTTCAGATGTTCCAACGATTATAGTAGTATCAGTTCCAGCAACTGGTCCTATAATTCAAATACTTATATGGTTAATCAAGTTAAAATATATATGTATGCATATATGGAGTTTACAGAATAAAGGTCTTACTTTCAGAAGGACCTGCTTCTGTTGGACCGACTCCAACGCTGGATTCCGTGGCTGCACCAGGAGTTTTCCCCGATAGTAAGTCGGAGATATACTCATGGTCGCCTTCAGAGAGATTGAAATCGAGGTGATGTTCATTGAATTCCTCGACCTCTGTTGTATGCGTGGTCTCTCCTCCAACAGATTCGTGCATTGTGACATCTACAAAATGTGTTGAGTCGTAAATGACACATAAATTTAGACGAATTTGCTCAAAAAGACAATTAATTTTACCTTCGTTGGTCGGGGCTGATTCGAGAGCTCCACTACTGGTACCTGCTTCTTTTAATTTGACTAAAAGGAGAGAAAGCGCACAGGTCATTAGAGGAGGCACACGGTCCGACTCATTCATTTCTCGGATTTCTCTTCCGAGAGGAGAAAGATCAGTACCTGTGTCCGCAGCTGATGGATCAACGTCAGGAGTGGGTGGAACATCAGCCGATCCTTCCTTCAGAGCATCATGCATTTGTTGGACGAAGCTTGTTTCCTCAATTTCCATACCTCCGGGAGAAGCAGCATCAGCTGGCAATTCTCCTTCCTCTCGACTCCCTGCAGAAGTTGAACATGAAATAAGTTTGAACATCAAAAAAGTGTAAAAGCTATAAAAACAAATCGTTACCTTGCTCATCAGAAGAAGCACTACGACCAGACGCCTCTTCTACAGCAGGAAGATGAACGCGCGGTTTAGAAACAGCTTTCTTCTGTTTCTTCAGAGGGCGTGCACCAGAACCTTCATGACGATGTTTGGTGCGTAACTCAGCTCGGGGAGAAACTTGAGTTTGAGCTTGAGTAGAAGTTCGAGATATTTGCCGACGAATGAGAGGCACCATATCCTCTTCATCCTCTTCGTCGCAACTAAGAACTTCTACCGTCATCCGGTTAGGATGTTCCATGACGACTCTTTCCTTACGTTTCTTTGGAGCAGCTTGTGGTTGGGTCGGAGCGACAGAAGGCCTTACAAGTCCTCTATCAAAGAATGAATCGGGAAGGCCAGATACTTCCTCAGAACTTGATTCATTCTCGTCTTCCCCTTCTGAAGTTTCGGTTGCTTCACTATCAAACTCCTCTTCACTATCAACTGGGAGAGCCGGTTCCTTTCCTTTCCTTGATGATTCAGCAGCCTCTTTTCCTCGAGGCGACATCACAGCTTCACGGGTCACTTCTGTTGCTTGTCGTGGAGCTATCTCTTCCTCTGAGTCTGATATCCTCCTGCGTCGAGTGACAATATTGGCGGCTATCAACCATTTGCAAAAGAGGAAGGTCATCCGTAGGGGCGGTGCCTCTAAAGGAAGATCGAATTCGACATTTGTACAGCCGGCGATGCTCCAGAACCAAGCCCTCGCACCGTCGATAAGTCCACCTCGAGAGCTAAGGTGGCGGTTTGGATTGCCAACATATATCTGATCATAGCCGAACTGACGGGCGAATCGACATGGGAGATAAGGTTCAATGTGACAAGTATCTCTTACCCTGAACAACAGATATCCAGGTCGAATGTTCATCAACCATCTGAAGCACCCGACATCCAAGATGGTACGATTCTGCCTTGGGTCTTCAGCATCCACTAAGGTAGTGTTGTAAGTACCGGAGAACTGAGGGAAGCAGGGAAAAAATTCCCAACATTTGTGAATTTTAAACTGCCTCGTTATGTCCGGCTCTCGATGTTTGCTCCATTTGCAATTCTCGAGATTTTGCAACAGAGGGACACTGAGATCTACCGTATCAGGAGCCTCCATTAAATCTGGTCGATGAAGTACCAACCAGGCCATTAAGTAAGTATAGGGCAGCTCCAGCTTCGGAACGGACAGGCTGGCGGAAGGTTTCTTTTTCTCCTGAGTAAATGCGGAGATTAGTTGCCGCAATCCACTATGAATATCGGCCACCATAGCGGGAAGCAAAGATAATTTGCGACCTGTAGCCAGCTGGACGGCCGGATACAACACTTCCATTGGCATCGCATCTGCGGATTGATGGGGAACTACACATCTCTTTAACCATAAGGCTAGAAAACCTGCCAGCAGAGCAGTAGGGCTAATCGGAACACCAGCTTGCCACAGATAAGAGCGGAACTTAGTGCCGTGCAAAAATCCATCTTCTGAGCGCGAAGTATAAGAATGCGCGTTGGTTTTCTCTAACAAACGGTTAATTTCATCCGTACTCAAGGGAGACAATCCGCACACATCTGCCGAACGGACATCCAGATTCTTGAAGAGATAATCAGCGAATTGTTTTAAACTGACTTGAGGAGACTTCTTTCTGGCTTTGGGCTCCATCTCGGCCATGGCTATATGATAATGACAGGTCAATTCCCATAGAGTGTCATAGGTCGCAGTCGAGCTATCTTTCATCTTAATCAGCTGATTGGTGGTCGGAAAGAACTCTTGATATGGGACATCGCCCATAGGCAAAGCAGACACTTGCATCATTTCATGCAGTGGTAGTCCAAGTTCCCCGTTCTTGGTAAAGAATGTATTGGTGTCCGGGTTGTAGATCTCGAACAAACAAAGGAAATGACTTACACTGCTCTGCAAGCCATGCATGGTGGCACGAATCGGGACATCCAACCCTAATCCTGCTAATTCTCGCCCAAAACGTTTCAACACATATTGGGTCATCCTGGTCCACCACCACTTGTTCCCAGAATAATGGACCCATCCATAACACCTGAAAGTCTCTCTGGGCAATCTTTTTCCTGCTGCCGCTAACCGGTTCTTCACAGTGTTGGCTTGCACTATCTTTTCGTTCTGAGGAATATTGTCTTGTCCTAAGACACCCGGATGAAGTCCTCTCACATGAGCTCTTTCACTGGAACCTGGAGTTGCTTCCTTTCCAATGAAACCACAATGAATGTGCTCGTGGTTTTCGGTTAATTTCCAGAACATCTCTCGTCCAACTGATAGGTTCCTGAACATTAACAGTGAATGATCCCGAGGGATAAAAGGCAGATATAAGAATGATGATCCACTCTGGTGCAACCATTGCGCAGGCTGGCAGAAAGCAATCTTCGGATCTTTTACCGAGTCACCAAATAAGAAATCTGGCTTCCTTATGCATTGATTCGAGTCTTGCTCCGAGATCAAGGGCGCATCTGTGATTAATCGTCGTAGAACACGACAACTACCTCGCTGGATTAATTCACTATCACTTCCGTTATAATCAGATTTAAACTGGGGAGAGAATTCAATTAACGGGATCCCCTCGTAATAAGAGTGGGTCACGCTACTCCGGCCAGTAATCACATCAGCAGTAAATGTGGTAGAAGGAAATCGGACTGATAAAAGAGGCATACACATAAATGGTGTAAGTGTCATCCTAAAATTTTAGAGAAAAACGGTATATCTCATTCTATAAGATATAGTCGTTATCTCATAACAGGTGTGACGATTTTCTATCCACCATATGTATAAAGGTGTAGAAAAATTCCTTCTGGGAAAATGCTCGATCTGCAGGTCGAGACAAAACTTGTTTTTTCACAAGTCTTTCATTTCAAACTCCGTCTTTAGGCATGAGCTAGCTTCTGTAAGCTCCTTGTGCGTTCCAATAATATTTATATCATCAATATAGACTGATATAATACAGAAGTCATTTTCGAATTT